TAATCTTAGTGACTCAGGCACACCTTCAGTGTTTATTTTAATTTAATTTCTGCAATTTTGCAGCCATACGGCTCATTAGGAGAACTAAACTAGAACTAAACTAAAAAAGCACTCAGAGAGCGCAGACCTCCGCCAAGGCAGCAAAGTCTCCATCCAATGCCGTTTCACCCCTATTATTGATTATTGATTGATTATTGATCCGGATCACCACCAAAAACTAATCACTTCTAAGTTAACCTATTTCTGACCTACCCTGAAAATTCCATCGATATGCATCCATAACTTTTTGAGTTATGTTGATGACAAACAGACAGGCAAACAGGGGTGAAAACATAACCTCCTTGGTGGAGGTAATAATATGATAGGGTATAACACACAATTATAAAATGTTCACACATTTAATAATATTAAACCATCAAAGTGACGCTAACCTTAATTCGGATGCATATCTTAAATTTTTCCTAAATTATCTAATTGCGAAACATGGTTCAACGATAATACTTTGAAGTCTGAACTTGATTTTTATACTATATTTTTCTGCTTAAGGGTGCTGTACAATGGGCTAGGCATTTAAAAATGAACTACAGATTTCACATTTAATATTGGATATTTCAGCTTAAAAGGCGTACCTATAGGTATAAAAGTGTCAGTACCAATTAATTGACCACCTTGTCTGCAGCACTCCTAAACTACGTAATATGCCATAATTCCATTAGGTATTACTGTTTGGGCTAATCCTGGTATGACTATGACAGAGCATGGTTCTGTTTAAAAAGTCTCCATATCTCCACGTTTCGTTAACGTCTGCACAGATGACTTTGAAATTTTCTATACCTGTTGCTAGTTTAACGGTGTGGGAATAAAGCGAACCAGTGAGTCACAGTATTGATTCTATGAGCTAGAAAGGCAGAAAACAGACAGAAATTCCCAGACAGATTATTGTGTCGCAAGGAACGCTCCGTACAGAACTACTAGAGGACTTGAACCAAAATCTATTAAGCTTTACACAGTTTTTGCTACTTATGAACTTTATGAACTTTCATGACTTCTTGTATCAAGGTATTACTGTGTACTACTGGGATTCAAATTACCAAGACAGAGACACACGAAGAGGAAAATACGCCCAGGATCCATGTTCAACGAGTTATCGATTAAATAAAAATATCATTTATTTCTGAACTAAATGGCAAGTGAACTGAACACGATATGGGCCATATGTTGTTATAAAGTTAATGCACAAAAGCCTTATTGTTTGATTAAGTGTTAAAAAGATCATTTGCAGACTGAAAACTGTCAGTGCCTAGACAACGACAGAGGAAACCGGTATATCTTAAACTCGAGTACCAAGAACAAAATGTCACAGTCACAGTAAACAGTAAAACTGCTCTATCACGGATGCCCTCAATCACACTACCGGTACAACATATATACAGACTTGACATTTAAAATGAAATTTTTCAGTTTCGAAGGTATGCCTAGGTAAAAATGCGTTCTTTTTTCAAAAAACTTCGATCTCATATAAGATATGTGAATGTAGATGTGTGTAGTCAGGTGTGTCGGTGCCAATTAACTGAATACCAGGTTTATTGCGCTGCTGCACTATATGTAATATGCAGTGATTTAATTGGGTAGTGCTCAAAGCTTGGCTTTGGCAAAGCATGTAATGTCAAGAAAGTATCCATATGTCGGCAAATACTGCATAGAAGAATTTGAAATTTTGCATGCAAGTGGTCGGTTTTGCAATGTGTAAAATGAGCTGTGCAGTTCTTTACAGTTTTGTTAATCTGTGGCAGAATGGCGCGGGGAAAAGAGACATTGCCAGACAGATAATGGCGTCAAACGAAACACTTCGCACAGATTTATAGAGTAATGTCCAGACTGATGTACCTACACAGAGGCCACACCCAATGTATTGAAATTTACCACCGGGTACAGGACCCACTGTCTTTCGGGATATGCTGTGGCAGCTACACAAAAACCACCTAGCAAGTTCAGAATGAGGGGTAAATTGCCACCAAAACGCATTTTTCAAGGCCCTTAGCGAACACCAAACTGATTTAAGCAGGTTAGAATACCAGATGACCTCCGAGGAACCCAGTGTAAACAGCAAAACATCGTTGTATGTTTCTGTAATTAATTGGGGACATTGACCCTTTCTGGGTTGAATACTGAAAACTCATGGCTTTCTTTATTGAGGTCATATTTCACCTGTACCGCTCAACTAGTCAAAACAAAATTTTCAGACATCCAGAAGAGACCAACGACGAAGCGTGTGCCGCGTGTAAAGTGACTAAGGTCATTAACAGCGACAGTATTTGGAGTAGATACCACATTCGTGCCAAAACACTAATGGTAGTCATCGACAAAAACCTGAACCAGATCAAATAAAGGAATTAACTGGGAACCACTTGACTATCATTTGATAGGGGGCACCATAGGAACAATTTAAGGTTGCACGGTAATATTGCCGGTTCACACAGAGCACATTTAAAGGACAATGTTCATGTAAAAATCCATTTCTCGAATTTTGAAGATACAGCACTCAATCTATACACTAGAGGTATGTTTTAATCGACCCCCGCCATTTAAAAATTATAAAAACAATCTATTAGTAGAAAAAAAAGCGTTTTAGTAAACCTCACCTCAATATGCAAAAATGAAGCAGCAGATCTGGGTCACGTGGTACTGTGACGACAATCACGATAAAGGTCTATGAGACTCAACTGAGCTGCATGGTGCATACAGACGGAGAAGTTAAGGAAAGTTGTGTTGAACGGAGTTGAGGAATTTTCGTTATGCCTCGGTGTGTTGCCGTGGGATTCACCAAAATTGCAGCTCTCGTTGACAATCTTTCTTTGTCTGTGACGGTCTTCCGTGACTTACTTACTAACTTCGGTGACAATAGTTGCGATGCTCTAGATCATGGTCACCTCAGGTGGTTTAGATCATATCAAGAGCTGGTAGTCTTTCAGATTAACTGTCATCAGTTGGCAAACTTACTGATTGCTGATGCATTTTAAATGCATTGTAGTTGACCAAAAGCTCGTTTACAACAAACCTGTTAATTATGCACCGCTGCAATTCCCAAGCCAGGTAATAACAGGTATGAAACTCGTCTTGGTGGGCTTTCATATTTTTCAATATATCTCATTTATTTCATGGGGTTATTTTATTGGTATTTGTAAATGACGTTAAATATCAATACTTAAACAATTAAGTTCAAACACGGTCGCGAACATTAATAAAAGAAATTGCTCTCAGGGTATCTTGAAGCTTCCGTGGAAGAAAACGTGTTGAGGAAAAACAGGAAAAAGAGCGTTATATTAAAGAAAAAATGGGAACTGCTATAATAAAATGGTTCGTTATCCTAATTCGTTTATGCTTTGAGGATTTGTTTCTGAAGATTATTTCATCTGAAATATTAAATAATTTAAAAGATTGATTATTTTATAACTTGAAACGCAAATTCTGCGTCAGTACGCAATTTTTTTTTTATTTTTTTTTTTTTGCAAATTTGTAAGCTTATAACACCGTGCTATAAAGATCTACTCAAGAAAAAAATTTGCTTGGGTAAAATTGAGTACGGAATGAACTGGAGACACTTGGCTTGTCATTAAGTTTACACGAAAATATGTCAGGTAACTTTATACTGTCTTTGAAAGAGTAAAGATTGAAAGATAATTTTAGACAAACTTTGACGGGGGAAATACCTACAAAGAGTAATGGGCTATTTCGCCAACATCTTGTTGAAAATTTTACACTGCAATTCTATTCAAATAAGCTAAGGAACTAATTGCCAAATTAATACTCTCATCACATAACAGGGGGGTAACCAGACCTGCAAAAATTGTACGCACATATTTAAAAAGATTACAAGCACATACAGCAAAATGTAGACTTACGCAAAACATGAAGGACAGCGTAATCACAGCAAATGTACCTCATATAGTAGCTTAATTTCCATTAATAATAAAATCATCATTTAAGTCAAAAATATTCTTGCGATTTAATAACTATTTTAATTTACCCAGAACGGTATATTTATTTTAAAGGCGGTTAACTGAAATATAGTTTTATGATTTGTTTGTGAAAATTGCCCATGTCACCCTGTTAGTTTGGAGGTCTAAGCTGGATCAAGTCCGTGTTAAAATTCCTATGAAGTTGTGCAGGAAAAATTCTTCCTTTCTTTCTCTAGCTCCTCGATAAACCTGGTGTTCAGATTTTATCTAGTACCCCCAGGTCTACGGGAGCTGCGCTTTGTAACTAACGCACAGGTAGATTTTTACCTGAGATAACTGGAGTAAAGCTTAGATAGAGAGTGCGTTCGATACAAGCAAGACAAATTGAATGCCATTTAACCCTCTAATTAAGAGGTAAAGGAAGTTCCAGGTAGATGGATGATTAAGATAGGACTTGTAAAGGTAACGGGCATTGTTTACCTCAGTTTAATAAAAGTATGCAAGACGGAGTGTCAGCGGTTTAATAAAATAAATTGAATTTCACAAATAACATGGACCTCATATGCAATAATCAACATTTCCCTTAACTCATTCAAATGCAGTGTTTTATACAACTTGGGATAACCATAATGAAATGCTTGTTAAAGAAATGACTAGACGGGAAATGGTTTTACACAGCTTCACGAGGATTTAGACCCCTCGGGTAAGAGAGTATAAACTTTTATCAGAAGCCAGAGAAGTCATCTTACAGGTAGACAATGCAGCTCAGTTTGACAGCTAAGCACGCTCTGTTCTCCAGTGGCTCGATTGTCGTCATTGGACAACGTGACCACGTAGCTCATTAACTCCCAGGCCGAGCAAATAGGACGCTTTTTAAAGCCAAAAATTTATAAAATTAGCTTTTAATTTGTGTATTTGGATAAAGATATCGTTAGTTGGGCATGTTTTCTGAAGAATATGTTCCGTTCAGGCCATTCTGACGGCATGAAGCAAACCTTTTAATAGCAGATTACTTACAGAACCAAGGGAATGAGCAGATACCTTGGTCATCAGCCATATTTGAACCATATAGACAATATGTGGGTAGGCCATTACCCGCCGAATCAATGGCTTACATGTCCTACAACAAAACTGGACCAAATTGGACAAATTTTGACCGATGCCTCGAATTTTTTTCCAGATTGAACTCTAAAAACCTATCCCAAGGAATGCCTTGTCGCTGGAGAGAGCTGGTAGCAGCCAGAAGAGGTCAGGTGTAGCAGCGACCGTTACTTTGACTAGACACTGACATGAGGTTCCTTTGTGGAGCGTGTAACTCTTTTACAGACAATAATATGGAAAATATGGAGATCCAAAATATATCTTTTAATGGTTGTCGTATGACATAGAATAGGCAATGTGTTTTTTTTTTGTTTGCTTCTCTGGCGAATTCCATTAATGAACTGGTGTCACAATGAAATCAAAGAGATAATTTAAAGTTATTAAAACACGATTTTAATCCTTTTTTTTTTTTTTTATCAGTCAGCAAAATAGGAAAAAAACTGATGAAAAATTATGTGGAAAAAAATATTCCATATTAAATGTCAAGTCTGTATATACCTGTACAGGTATTTGTTAGGAAAGATTACATGGAATGTCAACTTACAAAGCACCATCACATTTTCAGGGAGGCAAAGACTTTTAAGGATACGGCACCAAATTTTTACAAAATGAACATGATAAAGACACTTAATGGATAATAAATATAATCTAGCCGTGTATATCATAAGTAATACATATGTTTAGTCTTAAAGTATTAAAATATATCTTTTTGTGTCTAAAAATGTTACAAAATTATGAAATAAATGGAACACAGTTGAACAATGATTGTCTATGATAGAGAACGGTGATAATTACACCTGAAATTATTTAAACATCAAATAATTTCTATAATTTTGTTTTGGTTTTACGGATTTTGTTTCAGTCTGACAGAATTTTTACACTTGTCACACCGAACGTCTGACATCTTTTACCATAAAGTCTGTTCATTTGCTAGTGTAAGACATAGTAAATAATGTAACCATCATCTAGGAGGGAGTCGAAATTACCTGCCTCACCTATTTAACGCATAGACGGACTGGGGGCCGGAATTCCCAATTGGTAGTCATCCATGAAAACCTGAACCTAATGTAGATTTACTCTGAAAACCACCTGCCTCCCAGTTGACAGAAGACAATTTTTTTATTTTACAAGATTGAGACGTCCTTACACAAAGCGTTCTTGTATTCGCAGATAACTTTCAGAACCATGGGACTGGACAGCTAACGTGGCTTTGAACCTGTAGACAACCTGTAGGTAGTAATTAATTCACTAATCGAAAAACCGTTCTACTGGTCCTTTAACAAATCTGCGCCAATTTTGATAACTTAAAACCTGTGCCTGGATAGTTATTTCAAACTGAACTCTGAGAAACCTGTCAGAAAGAATGCTTTGCCTTTAGAGAGTCCTGGTGGCAGCAAGATGAGGCCAGATACACAGCTTACCGCTGCTGTGAATAAATACTTATATGTTTGTCCTCTGTAAACAGTGTACCTCTTTAACAGTAGATAATTTGGATAATACGGACATCCAAATATCGTTTCTAATGGTTGTTTTATGATTTAGAATAAGCCATGGATTTTTTTTCTTCATTGATGAATTCAATCAAAGAAATGATATCAGAAGGACACTAAAATTATATTATAAAACGCAGTGACCTGCCCGTAAATTCTCGGATGAAAACGATAAATATAAAATAATCAGTAAAGCCACTCAGTATGCCAATGTCAATAGTACTTGTAAACACAGATTATACTTGAAGTTTCTATCATGCAGAAACTGTCGGTCCGATTGGTCATGACCGGCAAAATTTGTCTGGACCGGTAAAAAATTGGACTTGGTCGGTCCAAAGGAAAGACAAGAGTTTTAAGAGCTGCACTTTTGAATTTACAGTCATCATTCGACATACTTCACTTATAAAATTATAAAAGACCCAAAGCGTTTTTTCACTTCCATTTTAAACCTATCACATTCACAAACAAAATAAGCTACCCTAATGATACTGGTACTATCTGTCTCAAACGAATAGGGTGATTTTTGCCCGACAAAAATCCATTCGGTCCGGCAAATTTTTCATTACTGCGGTCCAAATGTCCTACCATTCTGAATAGTTTTCAGCATGTCTGTTATCATGATATTTCTAGTAAGCTCGGTACGTATACTTAACTACCGGCTTTATATGGCAGTTACAAACATTCTTTGGATGCAACCTAATGTTCAGAAACCTACCCATGCACCCATCAGCTTCAAATACCATTTAAGAAACCACACTAACTGTGGAAAACAAGAACCAAAATGCATCCTCTGCCCATGTTACTTATGGGTTGGTTCGTACAGAGCATTGAATTTGATATTATTTTTAATTTAAGCCTCGGGAAGAAATAATACATAACTTCTCGACAAGCGCACTACTGAATTACTAATTTAAATACTGTACTTACAACTTTGGTCCGCACAAGTAGAAGGCAGCAGTATTTATTGGTAGGAACTGGACTCCTCGAAAAACTGAAATATCCCCAGCCTTTCTGTTAAAATGATTTGATTGATGGTGCCTTTATAATGCTTCAGATGAACGTTTTGCACACGTCAAGTTACATTTTTAAAGACCATATGACGTTTGATTGACGTGAGGCAAAGCTCAACAGATTAAAAATTTATAATTAAGTCAAAGCTGAAGACGGTTAATTGCAGTTTCCTTCAAAGACAGCCATGCTGAAACTATTGAAATTTAACTAGTGGTGTGCTTATTATTTTTTATCATAATTAGTAGTAGTAGTAGATGTAGTAGTTGAAACAGAAATAGTACTGATAGCAGAAGTACTGAATATACGGCACCGCTTGAACAGAATCAGTTACCATCAGAACTAAGAAATTTAAGCTCAGTAGACGATTTTTTTAAAAAAAGCTCTAAAAATGTATCTTCGTAAAAAGTTTTATGGTTGACCATTTCATACTTAACAAAACATCATAATTGGACACTTTTCTATTTAGCTTAAATACAGAATGTTAAAATTGGACATTTTCTCTTTTTTTTAATACTTTAATACATTGCTTTTAATATAAAATAATTCTTAAATTCTGTGTTTAATTTGTAGTAACTGCAAAATATATTTTATGGGTTTTAGACTCTGAATAAATAAATAAATAAATATTATTATTATCATTATTATTAAATAGTAGAAGCAGTAGTAAAAGTATATATTCATCTTCTAAATTTCGATTTTTTATTAACACTTCTTATACAATAGGAACTTACACTGAAAGCAAATGGGCATCATTTCAACCGATCTCATTACCCAGTAGGGTATACAACGCAGAACGTCGGCAGTATGATGTTGGCCCAATGCCTATAGTTGAGCAAATGTCATTGGGCCAATGCCTGTACAACGTTGTGTCTATAAGCAACTATAAGTTGGGCCATCATTGGTCGTACAACCAACCATGCGTTGGACAAATGTTGGACCACTGCTCTCTTGCTAAGTGGGTTGTTCGGTGAAGTACGTACCGCACGACAGGCGGACGCCATTCACTTTGCAGCAGTGTTTGTTGTGGTTCAGTTTTGGAGCGTTGCAGTTTTTACAGGAACATTTGGTTTCAGACACTTAGTAATTCATGCTAAATCTTGTTTCAGCTTTCCTGTGCCACTAGAATTACATTGAATTATTGGGTAACATTACACAATACTTAATGCAACACTCTCACTCTCACTAATTCTACGCAGGCCAATGGTAAATGAAGGTTGCAAGCACTACTCATCTCCTCCCAAACTACATGAATGCATCAACCTACAATTAATTTGACAACCCAAGTAATCAAATGACTACCAAGGGAAATCGTCAGGTTGGATATGATGGCCCTGCAAGACCATCAAATACAGATTTTAACTATCTGGGTCCTCGTTTTAGGTAAACCTCTTTGATGACCCTAATGTTTTCATTGTATTTAGATCTATTTCGTTGTTTCTCTTCTTACTGGTCATATATGCTTTCTGTAAGTAATACTAACAGTGATAGTATTTTTCAATAATCTTTTAAGCAATAATGCTTATATATATATATATATATATATATATATATATATATATATATATATATATATATATATATATATATATTCCAAAGTCTGATGTCCCATTAACACTTCTTATACATGAAGAACTAATTTCGGTGATTCTACTGTTCTCGGTCTTATGCTTTCTTTCAGCATACCGTAGGAAAATTATCCCAGCCATTATTATTTCTATGCTTTTTTCATTTAAGGATTCGTGTGTAGACCCAGCTTTTGAAAATATACCGCAAACATGTTAATATTATAATTATAAGCCTTTGGAAGAAATTTTTTGACATGATGGTAGGATGTTTAATTATTGAAGACGATATGTGACACTTGGCAGCCCTGTGTTATGGGACTGAACTTACAGTCTGATTCAGTTAGTTAAAGACTTTACTTGTTTGTGTTTCAACATTTTGCCCATTAAATTGCAGATTTATCAGACAAACCGATCGCCAGGTAACGCAATAGCTATGGAAGCCGGCCTTAACCCTAAGTGGTTTGAACAGTTTGAACAGTATGCTAATAACCGAATTATCAATTAAATAGATCGCTAGGTTTACCTATAATATCCGTGAATATTCGTGGCAAGCAGAGCTTATGCGAGGACGAACACGAAAGCTGTCCTCCGTGTGGCAGATATCATTCGTGTTTTAATTTTGTTTATTTCGGATCTGCATTCATTCTGTGATTCATTTAGCGTAAGTTATAATACGATGAACGGTACAATTTTTGAAAACTTCGGTTTAACGTGCAAAGAGAAATGTAGGGAAGAGGGTATAAGTAAACCTTCTTTAGCTTCAAATTATAGAAGTACTCATTTCTGTCCACTTGCATCCCCAAAACAGTATAACAAACACAATCAAACAATTTTCTCGTGTAATATCACCATCTCTGAACCCTTTTATTACAGTGAAGTAATGACACCTG